CCATTCACATAATGTAATTAAAATATTCAAATTTGAAAGTCAGTACTACGCCTGCATGCTAAACCCAAGGCTAATTTCAGGGAACTAATTTGGATCTTTCTCAAATGACAAAGAAACCCAGAAGGTGATAGATTTTATTGGTATAAAGAACACTGGAGAAAGAAACCCTGGATTTAGAATGTTAATTAAATAAAGAAATCACATTATTTTCTCCTCTAATGCAACATCTAAATGGTCTTAGGAAAATCTTTTGCTTTGATTTTTTTGGTATCATTACACAAATACCTGATAAAAGCCCTCAGTGCCCTGTTTCCCGCCAATGATAATGAATCTGATGAAGATGCTAAGCAGCCAACATCTGACTCTCAAGCGCAAGCCTTGCTCGCTACCACCGTGAACTGACGCACAGAGCTGCAACGTCCACATGACTGCCGTTACATCAGCCCACTCCAGATGTTCCCCAGGCAGGGAGAGAGCCACTCTTGCCACTGCGTTTTAGAAAGTGATCAGGCAGAACTTTTAAAGGTCAGACCCCTTGATGTGCTTATTCCACGTCTGGGAATCTACTGAGAGAAAGCGTACAAAATTGGAACAAAGGTGTTCACTGCACAACTTTTCACAGCATTGTGAAGAGTGGAAAGCTGCTGAAAGGTCCCAACATAAGGAACTAGTTTGTTTGCACGTTTATTTTTTTCCTTCTTTCATTCAAAAAAGTACTCCAAGCCCTGGGGACACAATAGAGACAAAAATAAATACAACTCATGCTCTCTTGGAGCCCACTTTCTGGAGGAAGGGATGGGCCAGACTAATAACCATAGAAATGAGCAGGTAAGGACCACAGGCTCCCTGCGGTGATGGGAAAAGACAGGATGATGCTCTCTGAGCCCAGATCAGGGCAAACTGATCAGTCTAGGGGGCAGCCTGTCCTGAGCACTGGACATTTGAGCAGATAGCTAAGGATGAACAGGAGTTAAGCAAGCCAGGGACAGGGGAGGCATCCAGAATGAGGAAGAGGCACCTTCAAGGAGAGAGCAAGGAAGTACAAGGGCCCAGAGGGCTAGAGCACCTGCTAGAGCCCAGAGACCACAGGCAGACGATGAGGAGACAAGGCTGGAGAAGTGGCAGCCCCAGGAGGCCCCCACAGGGGGCCTTGAATGATCTTCAAGTTCTCCTAACAGTGTGAGGCCTTGAAGAGTACAATCACATGGGCATTTTACCAGATCTCATTGGCTACAGTGTGAAGAGCTGAGTAGATTACAGAGGATCCTCATCACAATGTAACATGTCACTACAGAAGAATTTGTGAATAATCTGAGTAAAGGAGGAAAATAAGTACAATGTGATTAGGTATTAAAAACAAGACACAAAATTGCATTATAAAATATAAACTCAATTTTATAAAACATATGGGCTGAAAAAAGGCTGCAAGGAGATACATTAAAAACATTAACAGTGACTATATTACAGCGGTGAGATTACAAATGACACTTGTTCTTACAGTTTTCTGCACTTCCAAAATTTTCCACAGAATGAGTCTGTGTCCTATTTGTGTGAGAACCTACCTGATATGTTGTTGTAACCTAGACGTTTGTATCTATATTTTGCAAAGCAAAATAGTCATGCAAAAAAAGTCTCTTTCCTATTCGGTAATTTGTACTATAAAACATTAACAGAATACATGACAATTGGAATACAGCCTAAATCTGCTGTTTAGATATTGTGTCCATTTGCCTGTTAACTAGATGACCAGTTAGCTGAACCCATCCCCAGCAAACCTTGAAATAGTGTACAGATAGTTGGCTAAGGTTACAAATCAACTTGGGACCAGAACGATCTTCAAATTTAATTCCATGACAGTTTTGCCAAAGGAATAAGTATTTTTATAACTTCATCAATAAATTCAGCTGCTCATAGCTGCAAGCATACAGGACTGAGGCTACAAATTAATGAAGCATACCACATGACATCATGTTCATATATTTTGTCATTTATTCTCAACACTAGAAGAAGTCACACTGTACTAGAGACAATCTTACGGCTAGTATAATGGAGGCTCAAAGGCAAACCCACTTGTGTCAAACACACAGAGTAAAAGCTTCATCCCGACGACAGCCGTGCCGATCCTGTTCTCTCTCCTCCCCAGTGCCTGGCACATAACAGGCTTTAGTCTGTTGAGCTGAGCCCCAGGAGAAGAGTCTAGAGCCAAGCCAGATCTGTTTGGCACTAAAAGCTATGCTCTCTTCAAGAACAGCTCATTTCCACTCTTCCAGAAACAGGTGAAACCCACTGGCAACTGACATTTTCATTGTCTTTCCTCTCAGCTGGGAAAATGTTTGCAGAGCTCAGATGATCAGTTTGCTAAACCACCTGAGCAGGTACCGATCATAGCTAAGAGACCCTGGAGAGGGTGTGGAAAACGTACCTACTCTCAACTGACCCAGTGTGTTTGGAGGGCAGTTTTCAATGTCGACTACAGTTTTAAATTCTCATACCCTTCGAGACAGCAATTTCAACTCTAGCAATTTATGCCACAGGAAGTTGTGAAGTACGGAAAGACAAAGGTAGCAGAACTTTGAGGGCAGCATTGTCCATCGAGCAAAAACGGACTACAGAAACTATACTGCACCCATTCAATAGCAAACGCCTGTTAAAAACTATGTACTGGAAAAGATTTTCAAGGTGTGGTAAGTTAAAAAAAAAATTGATAACAGAGCATTTACTATTTTGTATTAGAAAAAAAATAAAATTAAAGTGCTATATTTTAGTATATCATGAAAAAATTATGGTGGCATATGACCAAACTGTCAATAGCAATTACCTCTAGAAGAACTACGGGTTACTTTAACCCTACCTCATCTGGAGTGCTGGGACTTTCTCCAAGATGCTTGTGTTACTTTTAAAAGTGTGGGGGGCAGGGGATTTTTTTTTCTTATCATAGTATGTACAGCTTTAAAATTCAGCAAATTTACTAAGGCCTTGTTTATACCTCTTTTTATCAAGGTTGAACATACGTTTGCCTTAAGTAAAATGATCTACCTTCATCCAGCCAATTGGTGCTCAGTTCCAAAAGTGTGTGGATCTGCCACACATTTCACAGAAGCAATGCGGGCTCAGTCAACACACAAGGACCGTAACGGAGGGTCTGACTGCTAGGTTAAATCAAGAAACCAATGTCGTCCACAACTCAGTCTGCAAACAGAGTCCTGATAAAGTAACGTGCTGGTCCTCTGGCCGGCTATGGCCATCACGGGAGTCCAGCCCCAGCTGGAGGCGCACGGGACAGACACCTTACCTGCTGGACTTCATGGGTTGCTCATACGGTGTCTGCTGAATGGCATACTCCTGGTACCCTCTCCGAGGCGCCAGGTCGGCCAGGGTGGCCTCGGGGTTGGCAGTGCCTGTCTCTGGGGGCCCGGCCTCCACCGGAACGATCCTGGTAGCACCTGAGATGAGTACAAGGCACCGCACATTAAAGAGGCACCACGAGGGGCTCTTACCCCACCCCACACAGGAGCACAGCCCCGGGAAGTGTGTGTCTTCACTGTATAGCACCCTTGCAAGGTATTGGTTTTCCTGCAGTTCACACATTTAACTTGTGTGTGTGTGTGTGTGTGTGTCTGTGGAGGGGAAAGGGCAAGTTTTCTAGGAATCTAGCAAAACATCCTTCTGGGCCTCCTGAGTGGCGCAGTTGGTTGAGTGTCCGACTCTTGGTTTTGGCTCAGGTCGTGATCTCAAAGTCATGAGATCAAGTCCCACGTCAGGCTCCCTGCTCAGTGTGGAGTCTGCTTGAGATTCGCGCTCCCTCTCTTTCTGCCCCTCCTGCTCTCTCCCTAAAATAAATAAATAACATCCTTCTGAGGTAATTTTCACTTGATCTATTAAAAAAAAACAGGGAAGACAGGGATATCCATACACATATGTTCGCCTCCCAGGTTTCCTATAGGACCACCTGTGTCCCACTCTGAGTAAATGGAAAACTGCATCATGAGATTATGGAGCGGTGGCATCAGCTGTAAATAGGAATCCAAGCTGCCAAGGGTCCAGTCCCACAAACGACATGACCTTACCATTGGTGGGCCGGCTCCTACCCTAGCAAATGAAGGGTGTGGAGTGGAGAAACACAAAGGTCCCTTTGCTTGTGCACTTCTGGGATGCGAAACGATCAAAGGCTTGTATAGCAGTGGACATGAGCACGCACACGTGCATCAATGAAAAGGCTCCAATCTACCCCATTTCTAGAATAGCAGAGCAATCAATTACATGTTTACCCCCACTTACGGAAAGCTCAAAGGACTACCAGCAATTTTAGAGAAGTTACCGAGGGGATCTCCAGAGACGCGAAGAACAGGAGCCGCTCCCCCTCCGAGGTTTTGCTTCCCAGGCCGATACTGCTCTGAAGCAGGGGGCAGACAAAGCAACTTTCCAGAAAGTTCTAGCCACATGTTTTTACGTGCCTTATTTCCTACCGATCATCCTACTCTGTACTGAGGGATAAAGAGGCACTTATCTGGCATTTCCACTTTAAATAAGGAGTGACTATTACCATTGAAAAGAGGTGCTTCAAAGGCTGTAGCTGCTCTTAAAATCCTACACGTGATTTTTATTTTTTTTTAAAGATTTTATTTATTTATTCATGAGAGACAGAGAGAGAGAGAGAGGCAGAGGGAGAAGCAGGCTCCCAAGGAGCAGGGATCCCGATGTGGGACTCGATCCCAGGATGCTGGGATCATGACCTGAGCCAAAGGCAGACGCTTAACCATCTGAGCCACCCAGGCGCCCAAAATCCTACACTTTGATTTTTTTTTTTTAATTTTTTTTATTCTTATGTTAATCCCCATACATTACATCATTAGTTTTAGATGAAGTGTTCCATGATTCATTGTTTGTGCA